ACATATTGTAACCAACAGTCCATATTCTATATAATACATCTCATAAGTGTATGTTGTTTAGCTTATCTTGGAAGGATTCTAATAATGATTTCATCATCCTCAAATTCTTATTTTTGAATATCTACACAAACGCGCACACACACAAACAATTACTTCATCCTCGAATTCAACATTTGGGTTGAATATCCATTAGATTTGAATTCTGATTTTAATTTAAAGCATACCTCAGTATTTACATATGTGAGTAATGGATTAAAGCTTGACCAGCATAATTAGATTTTCAGAAATTTCAAACCAAATAAATTATCTCAAAAAGTGTTAATAATCTATAATACTCAATAATGGATAATTTTTTTTTTAAGATATGAAAACGGAAAATAATTTTATTTTTTAAAAAGTAATATTTTTTGAACAATGAGTTAATTTATGTTAACAACCACAAAATAGGATTGCATATATTTCAATTAGATCAAAAATTAAAATATCATAAATAAATCGCATATAAAACATAGATTATTTTGAATTAATTAAGAAAATTAGGTATTATTTTGAATTAATTTAGACATTTTTTTTTCAATTCATAATTCTTTGGTTGTTGAAATAGAGATTTGTTTGAGCTAATTTAATTACAGAATTTTTTTGAGATTTATAATTACGGAATTTACCAATTATTCGCATAATCGAATATGTTATAAACATATATTTAGTATATAATAATACCAAAATCAACCCGTGCGTGGAGTCTATATTTTTATTTTAGAATCTCAATATTTCATTTTAAAATATTGCGTGCACAATCTATTATTCATTAATCTAAAATTTCTTGTTGGAATCAAATTTTCAAATATTTAGAGGTGTCAAACCATATTTAAATGTTCTACACTATTTTTAAATATTCCAAATTAAAATCTTTAATTCTTTTTTGTAGTTTATAAAATTATGAATTTCAAAAAAAAAATTATATGAAATTAAATATAACTATTCAAATAGTTATAAGGATCAAAACTCATTTTATCATATAATATATTATATTTAATCCGCTACCTATTATAAATATTTTTAAAAATAATCAAATTAGAGTATTTATAATTTTTAACTTTTTGAACTATTAAGTATTGATGATATACTCTAAAAATATCAAGTAAAAATTATTTTAAGTTGAAAACTAAAATATTTAAATTTTTACTGTAGTATATATAATTATACATTTCAAAAAAATAAATGTATGAAATCGAATATAATATTCAAATTCTGACCCGTTATTCAGTTGAAATTTTTGTTGACTTTATTTTTGTGTAAAAAAAATATATTACTCAAGTCTTAATTTTTGACCCGTTTAATTGTTTCCTTTATAGATTGAACACGTTTTTAAAAATTCAAATTTTGGCATATGCAGAAAAAAATTTACTTTTTTTTTTATTATGTAGATGATATGATGATTTATTTGTTTCATATTAATATAATCATATAAAGTTGAGAGGTGAAGTTTAATGATTAATAACAAATTAATATGTAAGTTAGATATCAAATCTTATATGTCCATTTTGATTGGTCATTTAAAAAAAAAAATAACTGATTTTCGTTTTATAATTTAATTAAATTAATTAAATGACATAAATTAGTATTTTACTTGTTTATCATTAATAAATTGAATGAAATTTGTTCTAAAAGAAGATTTTTGTAATGGCCTTCTTAAGTAAATTCTTACAAAAGGGAAGGTTAGTTAAGGGTATCTTATAAAGTGTACTCCCCAAATAATAGTATAGGATAATAAAACTTAAAAGTTCATAGATGGCTACTAAGAACGATTCATCTTATATAACTTTTGTTATTACTTGGTACCTACCAAATATTCTCTATTATTTTATATGTTGTATATTATTTTGTAAAACAAATATCATTATTTTTAACATTTTCTTTTACGGTCAGTTTTAATTTGATATCCCGCGCAACGCGCGGACGAATAAATCTAGTATAGTTAATTTGCATTGTCATTATCTTGCAAGAAAATTGTATAATTCTCTTCAGTCAATGTTACTCTGCTCATTAACCTTCTAACCATAAAATCAGAGAGTATTTTAATGTCGACCCGTCACCCGTATGTACAAAAGACTGATTCAAGGGAAAACACTACAAATAGTATCAATGGAGAAAAACAGTGTAAAGGAACAAATCTAAAGCATGAATAACGATTCTTAGAAGATGAAGTTGATATCAAACCTATACAAACAGAAAATTTCATAGTTAATTAAGGCTTAGAAATCGTCAGGGTAACTACGTGACCATCATCCACATCAATCCATATAAGAATACGATTAAACAGCACAATCTTGTTTTTGGGTAAGCAAAGTAACCAAAATGGATAATACAATTTACTACATCAACATGATTCAGCTACACATAAAAGCTGAAAAGACGAAATGGTAACAACTCCTCTTTTTTTGCATTTTCAAATGCTCAAGGCCGCACAAAGTCTAACTATATCGAAAGATACAATGAACTATATTTTTTCCAGCAATTCTCCTTTACTCTTTATCTCTTCCTTCTCCCTCCAACACACTTTCATGTTTCTCCTCTTTCATTTTCCTTTTTTTTCGTCTTCCCATTTTATAACGTTTAAACAAATTTCCCAAGGCAATTTTATTCTTTCTTATAAAAAGGCGAGAGATAATTTTAAAACATGACATTGTTTTTCAAGTTCCCTCTAAATTACTCTCTCCATATCTACTAACATCTCTTTTGCTTAACTTCTAACAGCGCGGACATGGAAAACAGTGTATATCCTAAAAGATCCGAAAGCCCTGTTTTTTTTTACTTTAACCATTGAGATCCCCATAGGAAATGACGTTGTAAGAGGCTACTGACGACAAAAAAAAATACTACGCTTTATTAGTCATCTCCAACGACTCTTACTCAAATATCATCTTCCATATCTGTTTCGATCTCCATACAATCTCCGTAAACTTCCTCATGTAATGTTGATGATCACACGAGAAAAATGAACAGAAGAAAAAATTGTTAGCTACAATGCATCGAAAGCTCGTGTCCAACTTATTGTACAATGATCTAGTTTTCCAGACTTTAAAAATGAAAGAAAAAACAATTAAACGCATTTAGAAAGGGATCAAACATTGTTCACCATGTGACATATGGAATAGAAGGAAATTGAAGGAATCATAGACGTTCTTGGGAGTGTCTTTTCCCATCATTATGTTATATGCTCAGAATATAGAGGATAATAAGAGAAGAAGATTTACTAACATATCTCAAGTTGTGGCTATGAACTGAATATACTTTCAATTATTCTAATGGCTGCAAAACAAAGAGCTGAATCTAAGAGTTCAGTTAATGATTGTTAACATATCAACATTAAGAAAACAATCTGAATCTCGACCAGTTGATGCGTGAATTCGCAGATCAAACTATTCACGCTTGTGTTATCTCCATCTCTACCTCGACAGTGATGATTCATCATGGCTCCAAATCGTATCTCTCATTGCTCCATTTATATACGGCTTCCATTTGTAAAAACCCCAAGTAAGTGAAGGGTGAAGGCAGAGGCCAAGAACATACCACGAGCACTTGTTTTGAATCTGAAGAGAAAGAACTAAGAAGGGAGACGAAACAATGATTTTAATTCTGCGTTTTCAAGCTAAGTATAACGCTTAGTCGCTCACGTAGTAAAATGGAAGAGGGAGCGTAATCATCAAAACACAACACATGAAATAAATGCTAATATATCCAATTTAAAGCATTTTTTTATGTCGATATCTTGTTTTTTTTTTTCCAAGTACACGTGGCAGTCATATAGGAGCTGACGTGGCAAGCAGATAGAGAAAAATAGCCTCTTTTCATATATATATATGATTTGCCTCAATTGCCATATATTCATTAGATCTGAATATCACATACTCTTTGTTAAAAAAACATCGTGATTCAAAATATTTTTTTCTTATAATTGATATGATATAACACGTTAAGAAATTAGTTTGCTTGATGAGAAAATATGAGACAATCAATTTGTTTATTTAAAGGTGACTATTTACAATCTTTTTTCAGGATTAATAATTGATTGTATAATTTTCTTATTTTTTTTTTTATTTTAAAATCTTTTTTTATAATTATCTTTTAAAAACAAAAAATTTGTTTCCTAGATGGCAAAAACTCTTATAAAAATATATGTACAACTAGGATATGACCCGCCGTACACCACGGGATAAATTAATTTTTGTTTCTATTATTTTTTTAATTTGATTATTTGTGTTGTATATATTTTATTAGATTTTTTTTTGTTTACAATCTTATGATTGACTGTATTTAGTTTGTAGTTAAGCTAGATTTTACTCCACGGTATATCGCGGATCGATAATTTGTAACTAATTAAAAAGTTTAAATTTTAAGTTGTAATTGTTTTGTTAATATTGTTTGTTTTGTTAAATGTGTTTAAGATTGTATAATTGTATTCAATTGTTAATTTCAAGATTTCACATGTGGTATACCGTCCCGTATTAATATCATCACCCAAACCCGTCCCACCATATTACCCCGACCTAAACTCGTCCCACCATATAATCTCGACCCAAACTCGTCCCACCATATAACCATGTCCCGTGAAATTAAACATCAATTTGTTATTGAATAATGTGTAATTTATAATATAAAATATTGTTTATATGTTTTTGGTGATTGTTAAATGTTTAGTAAGAGATAACATTTTTATGTGGATAAACATGTGTATTATTTGTATATTTTGTACCAAAATATTGTATTAAAGTAAAAGTTGTATTTTTTGGTATTGTAATTATTGTAATAGTGTGTTAAATTCAAAAAAAAAAATTATCACAACCAACAGTATTATTTACTGTAAGAACATAACAATTTAATTAAGAAAATATATTGTAAGTAGGTTTGCTTGTTTAAGATTTTTTTTATAAATTAGACAATAATAAGATTACATTATAAAGACAAAGTAAACAAAATATTTTTTGAAGAGAGTAAGTTTCAATGGGTGGAGAGAAGAGAACACAGAACAGAGCTGCGGATCAACTCTCAAAATTCAACATGGCTCAGAACGTTTCCTTTGTATATCATCATTTTGTTCCCCATGTATTAACAAACATCCTCCATGAGGATTTCTGTAATTCACGATCATAAGGTTAATATATAAGATGTTACAAAAAAAAAAAAAAATTGCGTTTAGTTAGTGACAAAAGTCTTTAATCGGTTTAGTCGGTTTAGTCACTTGGTTAAATTACATATGTCTTTATCTCGGTTGGTACGACACAATCGTACATGTAAGGATTTGATGGTTCACGAAACCTAATCAATCAAAATTGATTTCATCGTCTTCTCTATCTCTTTCTCTCTTCATCGTCATTCATCATGATCATGATCATCATTCATCATCATCCTCATGATCATCATCATCAAATCTTAGGATCTTCAAGGTGGTTTTTCTCGTTCGTAGCTACCTTCTAGACTGTGATTTCCAATCTTCGAACTCTCGATCGGTGAGCTAGAACGCCTAATCGGATTTAGACGATTTTTAGGCGGTTTAGACGTTTATAACATAAAACATTATAAGTATGATATTATATATAAAATATCTTAAAAAAAAACTAAAAATATGAAATCATAAACAAAAATTAGATCTCCGCCTTCCCCACCGGAGTTCGACTCCACTAAGTCGCGTTACCCCGCGTAGTAGGGATTGGCTATGGATCGGACCTTGTCGATCCAAAGATGTCAAAAAAAAAAAAAAAACAAAAATTAGATAAATCATTTATTTATATTTATATTAAACAATATATGAATATTTATAATTATATATATAAATAAAATTTAATTAAAAATTAAAAAAATACATTAAACAAGTTCTATGTAATTTTAGGCGGTTAAAGCGGTTATCTAGGCGTCGCATGAGAGCCTAGCGCCTAGTCGGAGCCTAGGCGACCGCCTAGACCGCTTTTTAGAGCACTGGGTTTTAGCTGTCTTTTGGAAATCCCGTCACACCTCCGCTTTCAGAATTAGATCAATTTCATTAGCTTATCAGTTTTAATCAATTTGGGTAACAACAGAGGATTGCAAGAGCTGCTGAGTCCACGAGTTCTTCCCCATCAGTAGCTTCCGGTGATAGAGCCCTAATCCATGATGATGAATTCACTCAAGCCAAGGTTATATTGTTGTCAACCTAGCAAATCCCCAATTAAGAGTTTCTTCAAATTCAGTGTGTCAATATAATCGAGCAATTAGTGAAGTAGGCGAGATTGTGTTAGTGAATCCTATTTTCACGTTTTACTTAGGAAGATAAATCTTCACCTTCGATCAATTCATGTCGTTTTCTTCTTATCTTTCATCAAGTTTTGGGCAAGCATGGAAATCTAAGATTTATTCTTTCAGGACTAGCATAGAAATTTTCGATTGGTGCTCGAAATGCTAAGGAACATGCATCTGCCCAGAAATTCCTGGTAATGTTCTATTTCTTCATTTGGTTGCAATTAGTTACAATTTCGAAATGTTGACTATTTTGGTTAGAGATAGCATCTTCCTATCTCATTTCTTCGATTTGTGTTTTTTACATATAGACCAAAGTCACGGTCTTTTTTGTTCTTTTCACAACTTTTTTTTTTCCAGAATTTACAGATATTTAACAAAGGAAACAACAGATAAATGTTCTTGTAACGACCCGCAAATTCTTAAATAAATTCTGAATTTTAATAAAATAAATATTAAACTTCTAAGAGTCTCAAAATATACAAAGTCTGAAATTTCGTAAAAATCCAAAATCTGAGAAATAAATGTGGTTTAAAATACTGAAAGAACTACCAAGTCTCGCGCTACAACCGAAACAAAGACTCTAAGTGTCAGCTACACGCTCCTCCTCCTCAATGTCCTCTGCACGGAATCAGAACTTATGTGAGCGAAAAATCGCCCAGTGAGACTACAAACCCGACGAACAAGTACCAACACGTCTCGCGCTACAACCGAAACAAAGACTTTGTGTATTTTGAGACTCTTAGAAGTTTAATATTTATTTTATTAAAATTCAGAATTTATTTAAGAATTTTCGGGTCGTTACAGTTCTGTTTCTTGAGGGTGAGTTCTTCTCAAAACTGGATGGTTCGATATGAAGCAGATAGTACGCTCTTTATATTCATACATCAAATGTCTTTTGGACCAAGAACAATAAGGTTAGTTGTCAACGAAGCTATATTTTAATACAAACATGCATTCTTGTATGTCTCGTAGACAACACCTTTGTAAGTCCTTAAATTTTCATCGCATGTTGGACTTTCTAGAAAACGAAAGAGAAGTTTCAAATGTGAATTTCTTTCCATCTTATTTGAAACAAATGTTGTCCTTCTACTCTTGATTGTTCTTTGCCTTCTTTGAGAACATTTTTCCTCTTTGATTCCATGTAAAATCTGTTTTCTTTTAGATAGAAAGGTTAGTAATAAGTTAAAATAGCTTAATATGAAATTCAATTAATACATATTCTTGAGTTAGTTAAATAAATTGAAATAGTCCAATAAAAAGAAAATAGATTTAATTTTTTTGATGACGTTTGATTTAATATTATCATTGGTTTAGGATCGGAATAACTTTCTCTCAATCATCTCAAAGACCCCTTTGATAGTTTCTTTTGTTCCCTGCCAAATTACAAAAAAAAATATTTTCATTTTAAAAATGATACAAATCAATGTTATACAAACAATTGCTTTTGAAGGATTTATTTAAAAAGCTTACATGTATATCAGCTAGATCCATGTAGAATGTTTCACCAAATTTTGTGGTGTATGTCTTCCAGGTACGAAAATCTATCACTTGGTTGGTCGTAAATGTTTTCTATGTACGCAAGACACTGACTTGCACTTACCAACCCGTTTTGAACGGCTTCACATAATCAAGGAAACGAAAAGATAAGACATTGGCAAAAGGAGAAGAAAGAGACGTTTGCTGTGAATAGAGGTAATTGCTGGATGAAAATGGTATATGAGAATGACGTTAATATATTGTGTAGAAGGAGGGTAGGGTTTTTGGCTCTAGTATCTTCGAAAATCTTGGAGAGAAAGTTAAAATATCTTAAATACTAACGAAAATATATTCTTGAGAAGGTATCAAAATGAATGATACACGGATTTAAGGGAAATAAGGATATTGAGTAGTAAAAACTCTTATGGAAATATATGTACAATTTCTTTATAATTAGCTTTTTACATTTTAAAACTGTTTAAATTTATAATTTATTTTTTAATTATCTTTTTACTTTTTCTTTCTTTTTAAAAGGAAAATTTATTTGACACGTTAAAATCTCAGATTGGAAAATTTGACACGTGTCACGATCTCGTGAGTTATTAAATTTGAAAATCATGCTTTATATAATAAGATATATGTATAGTTGCCTTTTAATTTTGGGGCTTTTACAAAAATGCCATTTTTTCAATGCCACTTTTCAAAAATACCCTTTTTAAAAAACCTTATAAAAAATGCTCTTAAAAATATAAGATTTACCCAAATATGTATGTAATATTATTAAAACATACACAAACTACATTTCTATGTATCTAAAATCTTATAAATACTTTATAAATACCTTATAAATGCATTTTAAATACCTTTAAAAAACCTTTAAAATATCTTGTAAAACCTTTGAAAAACCTTAAAAATCCTTTAAAATAACGTTTAAAACCTTTAAAAACACCTTATAAAACCTTATAAATACTTGGATCGAGTTTTCAAGTAGTAGTTACAATCCATAAGTACCTTATAAACCTAATAAAACTTTATAAAAATTTCAGATTTAAAAAGGGGCATTTTTGAAAATGGACATCTAAAAGGGGCACACCGAAAGGGGTATTTTTAACAATTTTCCTTTAATTGTTTTCTTAAATTTCTATTTTTATTTAATAAGATACATCTAGTTTTCTTATAATTATCTTCTTTAGATTTTAGAATTGTTTTATATGAGATATATACGTATCATTTCCTTAATAATTATTTTTATAATTAAATAATTTTTTGTTTTACACGTGTTAAAATCTAAGATCGATAGATTTGACATGTGCTTATAGTTTTCATATAATTTTTTTCTTAAATATATAAAAGGAAAATTTTGTTTAAAACTTGTCAAAATCTAAGATTGATAAATTTGACATGTGGCACGATCATATTAGTTACTAAGTAGTAATTGATTTTTTAATTTCTATATTTATTTAATAACATACATATGTGGTTTCCTTATATTTGTCGTCTTTACTTTTTAAAATTGTTTTATTTAAGAGATATACATATAATTTCCTTTTATTTTATTTTTTCTAAATAAATATAAGGAATTTTTGTTTTACATGTGTCGAAATCTGAGATCGATATATTTGACAAGTGGCATGATCTTATGATTCATTAACTTTGCAAACCGTACTTTATATAATAAGATATATATAATAAATAGATGGGTTTTATGCAAATAAAAAATAAAAAAAAACTTTCTAAGTCGTCAATTTTTACAATTTTACTATCTATCCCAGAAAAATGCAAATCAACTCTAAGAAGTAAAAAATAATACGATCTCTGGATAAGCAAAATGGGATAAAAAGAAAAACCCATGTTTAACAATTTTAACAATCTAATATAACGACTTTAGGTTCATAACAAGTAAATAACATTTAGCAAATATTTTGTCTTGTGTTACTTTTACCACTATATAGTTTGGTAAACATTTATGATTCATAATTAGAAAACGATTTTCACCACTATATAGCTCAATAACTAACAAGAATTCCTACAGATGATTAGGATTATTTAACTATAAAATTTACTTATGATAATTGTTATGAGATCAAGCACCACTAGACCAAGCAACACTAGACCACACATGGGCAACTCCGAGCTCAATCTCGATTGAGCAGCTCCCAGCCCGTTCTCGTTTGGGCAGTTTTTAGATCTCACTATCATGGAAACTTTCCAATCTCTCATGTCATTAGCAAATTTACAAATGTTAATTTGTTTTTAAAAATTTGACTTTGTTAATATAGAATAGAATAGGATATGATCCGCGGTACACCGCGGGATAAATAAATTTTTGTAACTAAAATTTTTAAATTTTAAGTTATAATTTTTTTGTTTATATTGTTTGTTTTGTTTAATGTGTTTAAGATTGTATAATTGTATTTTAATTGTTAATTATAGGATTTCACCCGTGGTATACCTTTCCGTATTAATATCGACCGAAACCCGTCCCACCATATAACTTCGTCTCGTGAAATTAAATATCATTTTGTTATTTTACTTTTTACTAATATTTTATTTAAAAGACATATAATTCGAGTCAATTTTAAAACTTTGCTTTTAAATAGTTCACATAATATATATATATTTTTAATATTTATAGAGTTCAAATATTATAAATATTTTTAACGTATTATAAAGTTTAACTTTGTAAAACGTATAAATAATTATAATATTCAAATTTTAATAAAGTTATTGTACTTCTTTCTTTTTTTTTTTTGTCATCCGAAATTAATTAAAGCTCAAAAGAGTCATTCCTAAGGAATGTTATTTACATAAGTGATATAAAGCGGTTTTGTACGAACTTTTCGTGCCAGATTATCCGCCTTAACATTAGCCCTACGAGAAATTAAAGATAAAGAAAAAGATGAAAACTCCTCATTGTCGCTCTGAAATTCCTCCAAATACACTGAAAACGCCGGCCATTCGGTTGGAGAAGACACCATCTTCACCAGGTCTGAACAGACTGTAAAGAACGCTACCTCTTGATTATCTGCACTAATCATACACTTCATCGCCCAGAGAAGGGCCTCGACTTCGGCATGTAGGGGAGATAGACTTCTACGGAGGTTCGCAGCTCCCATGGTTGCCGGCTCTCCATTTGACGATGTACAGAACCAGCCTGTACCGGAGAACTTATCACTTTCTTTCCATGATCCATCAACAAAACAACGGTATCCCGAATACTCCGCCTCAAGTGAAACATCCCTCACTTGAATTCGATCTACCAAGTGCATAGAACCATAATTTTCATTATGGAGCTCAATTTGAGCGGACTGCCACAATCGTGCCTCTTTTTCCGCTAATCGTAATACTTCTAAAGGGTATGTATCTATGTTTTCAAAGATCTTTTTGTTCCTTGCTTTCCAAATATACCAAATAATCCATGGGAAGACTGATGAATCAACTTCCGTAGGTATTCTCCAAAATAAGTGATCCAAATTCGTAAAATTAGATTCTGTAGGGAAAATTCCCATAGCCGTAGGAATCTGTGAAAGCGCCCAAATCTGCCGTGTCGGGTGGCATTGAAAGAGTGTATGATTGATCGTTTCCTCTGATGTGCCACATCTGGCACATCCCGTGTCACAATCAATTCCTCTTTTCCGTAAATTTTCCGTAACCGGTACACATCCCGTTAAGATTTGCCATATGAAATGACGTATCTTAGGTGGACACTGTACTT